CCCCCCAACTCTGGTGATATCACACATTTGGACCTAAACAGCATTTCCCTTCTAGCTAAAGGGAAAATTCCTCTCGCTCGACGGCGAACTTAATCCTATGCACAATTGAACCCTGCCACAGATGTTTTATGACCAAAATAAAATGTTCACAACATTAACACTGTACTCGTTGTTATCGTTGGAATTCTTTTGGGATGAAAGCGTTTTCTTGATCTACATAAACAAAGTCACCGCAGCGTTTAAAAGTAGAGTATAACGTTTGAAGCTGTTGGTTCATGTTCATGGCAACGATGTCTACTCACGGTTCATATCATATAGATCTCATATGAATGCCAATAACACAAATAAATAGTAATATAATGGAATATAACACTCAAAATACATGTCCATGTCGTTGAAGCACCTACTTCTACAACATGGCTTCTTGAGCTGATACAAAATAGTAGGCATAATTTCAAACGGAACGAAATGAATTTGAGTTTTTTTTAATGTATTTCGCTTGTAGAACATTACATGTAAAGCTTTATTTAATTAACCGGAAAATCATGGCAAATATTGTCTGCTTCACTTCGAACGAGGAAAAACTCATTATTTATGTTTTAGACACGAAATTCTTCTTATCTGATTATGGATTTACGGAAAGGAATATTTATTGGACCCTGTTGAACTTTTTAATGTATATAATATACTGTATGCTATCAAGCGTGAGATTCAGACCACTCGCTCTCCCAAGAATTTCGGTTCGATCCCAAGCGATGGTGGAAAAAATAGAGTGATGTCTGATAGGGTTAGTTGTTATCCCTCCGATGGCACGGTGGTTTTCCTCCGCCGCCATTTGTCCCCTTAGCGGCGTCGTAATACAAGCTCTATAGAGCTTATGTTTGTTATTGACAATTGTACACGACGTTCAATAAAGATTATATTTATTATCAACACACTATACATTTTTAAGATCCTAACTTTGAAAATGTGATCGTCAGCATCGGGAAAAATCAGGTGTGGGTAGTTAGAGGTTACACGGGGCCTGTCAAAACATTGTTGGAGTAGGCCATAGGGGCCCCAAATCTCCTGTCTGATGAGGCCCTTCGACTCTCTTGTCAATAAGTTCAGGAACAAAAAAATACAATCCGGCCTGCCTTTTTAGTAAAATATAAGAAAAAAAATTGGGGCAATATGTTGTCTTTTTATTTAAGGAATATTTCTCGATATGTCGATGATTTTTCCAAATTTCACTATTATTTATCTAGAATAACCCCTGGAATCGGAGGTGAGATAGAGAGGCAACTGGTATAACAAGAGGTACATACGGTTTACACAACGTCACATACTGTTCTAATTACTAGTAGCACGGAGCAGAAATAGTAACGCGACCCTGTCATTAGATGTTTTAGTCCGTGCCAGAAGGCATCCCAGTGTGCGAAACAAGGGGGTGATCGCATACTGCCAAATCTTGCTGACGGTGTTGCATTTCATCTACATATATTGCTACCTCGATTTATTGACTTACGTACGCGTTCGCGGCGTGGCATATGTGTGTATTAGCATGTAAAGTGAAGAAAGCGTCGTCAGATAATATCACAAAAACTACTCGCTAAAGTAGAGACATAGACTTTTACTAATATATATTCCAAATTTCAGCTCGATATTTGTAAAAAAATGATCGAGTTTCGATTAATTTATTATTACGATCGGTGGCGTGACATACGTGTGTGAATAGAACACTGGTACTTTAGATAATATCTCTAATATTAACCTGTAATGTAAGCGACATCAGAAGATATGTTATTCATATAACTATGATACACATTTATACAAAATTTCAATGTAAATTTGTTGAAAAATGATCGAGTTATCGTGTATTTAAATTTACGATTTTACGAAGCTATACGGCGCCGTGTCACATGTGTTCGTAGTAGGTGAACACTTTTTATCTTATGAAATAACTAGCACACAGGTGTAAATATCGGTATTTCATATAATCAAATACATTTCGTCTGTATACCTAAGAATAACTGTTCATCTGTTCAAAGACGTAAAAAAGTCAAATGTCAATACATTTCACATCTTGAATCCCGCCCTGCGGGCACACAAGTGTTGTGAAAGCGTAAAAAATGTTCTTCATTAAGCGAAATTGTCATCAGGTAACTAATTTACAACTTTTGTTGTTCAACAGGACCATGCGATTCGCGCGAACACGTTTTCGCGTCCCTGGTTTTTATGTCTCCTGAGCTATTATCAGCTCTAGCTATATAGTGACCTATTAGTTGCTATCCGTCGTCGTGCGTCGTCTGTTAACATTTTACATTTTCAACTTAAGCCGAGTTTCTGACAAAGGGATTTCATTAATATTTCATGGGAAGGTTACTGACATCTCCCTGACCAAGTGTTGTTATTTTTCGGGTCGATCAGAAATCTAATATGGCCGCCATTTTGTAAACATATTTCAAACTTTTAAGTCAAGTTCTGCTGGGCCGATTGTTTTGGGTTGATGCCGGTGTCCCTGGCAACCGGACCATTGCCTAGTGTCTGTCTATATTAGGTATGATAGGGGGAGGGTAATGAACAGCAGATGTAGCACGCGCGTCTCCCCGGTCCTCTCTCTATACATGTTTATATCTATATCTGAGATAAAAGAAATCACTTGTATAAGAGTTAGTTTGGAAACATATTCAGATTTCAACCCTGGAAATGGACATGGCTGACAAGAGACCAACTGTTAACTTTGGAGCACAGGTACGTGAGTATTTCAGGAAGAAATATTATTAATATTATAAAGACATTTATGAATTCGTCCATGTGAATGATGTCACAGTCTCTTACTGGCTGTGGTTGATCATTCTAATATTCAAGTTTTTTTTTGTATGTACAATTCAAAAAAGATATAGATGTTAGATTATTATTTTGTTACTAGGGTTGTGTTTTATTTCATGAAATCTCTCAGTAGTGATAAAAGATGAATTTGCTTTACCAGAACTAGAACTAAAGGTCTAATTTGCTTTAAGTCAAGTACTGAAATAAATGTTGTCCGCTGGTTGCATGGTTGAATTACACGTTTATGACCAATTTTCAGCTATAATACCTGATCAATGACATGATTGTCTGTTGATAAAGTTTTGCACCATGTTGTTTTGTTATGACCATTGAAAACAAAGCCTTTTTGTATCTCCGCATCACAATCACTTCTGGATAAATTATCCTTCAGTTTCCATCAGGTTTTCTCCTTAAACCGAGTGGGTTTATTATATATATGCTTTTAGTTCTTGGATGATTATCTGGAAACAAACCTTTCTGTATATTCCTTACACAAGTACAGGAAAAGCGTCTGAGTTGATTTTATTCTTGTGTGTTCTTTATCATGAAATATAAAAGTCTGTTCCTGGTGATGGTTATGAACGGAAGATGAAAAAGTTACAACATCGTGGCATTTTTTTTTATTAAGTACGTAGTGATATCAGTCTTTAAATCACTATCTGCCCGATATGTCATATTAAAGCTGACAGCATTATCTTATTGTTTTAGTGAGATCTGTAAAGAAATCCAGAACATCAGTGACAAGATACAGGAGTGAATTTTCATCCAAGATAGACCAACTCAACCTACTGGTTTCCAGTCGACAGGAAAAAATGTCAAAATTAAACCTTCAACATCAGCAGAAAATGAGGGCTACATAGGAAAGCATGCAGCAGCTTAGAGTGAGTATGATCGGCAAACTGCAGTGGAGATAAAGCTGGGGAATGTTTATGTCACCTGAGTCACTGTAATGATTTATACAAATGGTGCCCTTTGGTGTTGATTTGGTAAAATGAAAAGTATACAATTAGCTTGTAACTGATTTTAATGTAATTATTCTATTCAACATTACCGTCAATCATATTGAAAAATAAACCCCAGAATAAATGAATTTCCATGTATACTGTATATTACATACACATTTGACACTTAAAGTTCAGTAATGAACTGATTATATCGATTGTGGAATTTGTTATCGATAATCGGAATCGAACAGGACACATCGATTGATGTTCGATTATCAGTCCATCACTGGCTTTAACTTGTCCAGGATTTTGTATTAATAGTAAAGTGGCATTGACCTCACCTCTACAACCCTGAAACTCAAACTTGTGCGATATATTATGGTCCTTTGTAAATGTGTGAAGTTTGATCCAGATCCCTCAAGGAATGAAGCTACTAGAGCGCTGACAATGAATTTTCTAAACAAGAGGCCCTCTGGACTTGAATCGCTCACCTGGTATTAATCTCACACCTGTAACCTTGAAAGTGGACTAACATACAACTGCAGGCAGAATATCGGTGTTTGATTCATAAGAACCTATTAAAAGATTTATACATATGACGCCCGTGACCTTGAATGTGGAACAAAGACATTAGGTTGAACAGGTTGCTAATTGACCTCTATGAGTTAAATTTTGATAAAAATAGCGGAGTTTGGTATTATTTACTCGCGGCCGTACACATGCGTGTGGGAGGCGAGCCGGGTTGTTTTGGGTTGATGACGGTGTCCCTGGCAATCGTACCATTGCCTAGTGCCTGTCTATATTAGGTATGATAGGGGGAGGGTAATGAACAGCAGCTGTGGCACGCGCGTCTCCCCCGTCCTCTCTATATATATGTTTATATCTATATCAGAGATGAAAGAGATCACTTGTATAAGAGTTAATTTGGAAACATATTCAGATTTCAGCCCTGAAAATGGGCATGGCTGACAAGAGACTAACTGTAAATTTTGGAGCACAGGTACGTTAGTATGTCAGGAAGAAAAACCATGTTGATACAGTTAGGGAAAAGAAATACAGGTAGAGATTATCAGGCTAAGGTAGTTGAAGATAAGACAGGCAAGTACAGGTACTCATATTAAAGGGGAAAATAACAAAACAAAACAGGAGAATATACATAAAGGAGAGTACAGTAGATATAAAAGTATTGAAGCAGAAACATATCTTAGCTAGATAGGGCGCTATATTAAATGCTGTATATTATTAATATTATAAAGACATTTATGAATTCGTCCATGTGAATGATGTCACAGTCTCTTACTGGCTGTGGTTGATCATTCTAATATTCAAGTTATTTTTTGTATGTACAATTCAAAAAAGATATAGATGTTAGATTATTATTTTGTTACTAGGGTTGTGTTTTATTTCATGAAATCTCTCAGTAGTGATAACAGATGAATTTGCTTTACCAGAACTAGAACTAAAGGTCTAACTTACTCTAAGTCAAGTACTGAATTATACCTGTTCCGCTGTTTGCATGGTTGAATTACAATTTTATGACTAATTTTCAGCTATATTTGTCTGTTGATTTTTTTTGCATCATGTTGTTTTGTTATGACCATTGAAAACAAGGCCTTTTTGTACCTCGGCATCACTATCACGTCTGGATAAATTTTCCTTCAGTTTCCATCAGGTTTTCTCTTTAAACCTAGTGGGGTTGTTACATAAATGCTTTTTGTTCTCGGATTATTGTCTGGGGAAAACCTTCCTGTATATTTCTTACACAATTAAAGAAAAAATATCTTAGGTGATTTTTAACCTTGAAAGTGGACTAACATACAACTACAGGCAGAATATCAGTGTTTGATTCATAAGAACCTATTAAAAGATTTAAACATATGACGCCCGTGACCATGAATGTGGAACAAAGACATTAGGTTGAACAGGTTGCTAATCGAACTCTATGAGTTTAATTTTGATAAAAATAGCGGAGTTTGGTATTATTTACTCGCGGCCGTACACATGCGTGTGAGAGGCGAGCCGGGTTGTTTTGGGTTGATGACGGTGTCCCTGGCAATCGTACAATTGCCTAGTGCCTGTCTATATTAGGTATGATAGGGGGAGGGTAATGAACAGCAGCTGTGGCACGCGCGTCTCCCCCGTCCTCTCTCTCTATATGTTTATATCTATATCAGAGATGAAAGAGATCACTTGTATAAGAGTTAATTTGGAAACATATTCAGATTTCAGCCCTGAAAATGGGCATGGCTGACAAGAGACTAACTGTAAATTTTGGAGCACAGGTACGTGAGTATGTCAGGAAGAAAAACCATGTTGATACAGTTAGGGAAAAGAAATACAGGTAGAGATTATCAGGCTAAGGTAGGTGAAGATAAGACAGGCAAATGCAGGTACTCATATTAAAGGGGAAAATAACAAAACAAAACAGGAGAATATACATAAAGGAGAGTACAGTAGATATAAAAGTATTGAAGCAGAAACATATCTTAGCTAGATAGGGCGCTATATTAAATGCTGTATATTATTAATATTATAAAGACATTTATGAATTCGTCCATGTGAATGATGTCACAGTCTCTTACTGGCTGTGGTTGATCATTCTAATATTCAAGTTATTTTTTGTATGCACAATTCAAAAAAGATATAGATGTTAGATTATTATTTTGTTACTAGGGTTGTGTTTTATTTCATGAAATCTCTCAGTAGTGATAAAAGATGAATTTGCTTTACCAGAACTAGAACTAAAGGTCTAACTTACTCTAATACAAGTACTGAATTATACCTGTTCCGCTGTTTGCATCGTTGAAGTACAATTTTATGACTAATTTTCAGCTATAATACCTGATCAATGACATGATTGTCTGTTGATTTTTTTTGCATCATGTTGTTTTGTTATGACCATTGAAAACAAGGCCTTTTTGTACCTCGGCATCACTATCACGTCTGGATAAATTTTCCTTCAGTTTCCATCAGGTTTTCTCTTTAAACCTATTGGGGTTGTTACATAAATGCTCTTTGTTCTCGGATTATTGTCTGGGGAAAACCTTCCTGTATATTTCTTACACAATTAAAGAAAAAATATCTTAGGTGATTTTTAACCTTGAAAGTGGACTAACATACAACTACAGGCAGAATATCAGTGTTTGATTCATAAGAACCTATTAAAAGATTTAAACATATGACGCCCGTGACCTTGAATGTGGAACAAAGACATTAGGTTGAACAGGTTGCTAATCGACTTCTATGAGTTTAATTTTGATAAAAATAGCGGAGTTTGGTATTATTTACTCGCGGCCGTACACATGCGTGTGAGAAGCGAGCCGGGTTGTTTTGGGTTGATGACGGTGTCCCTGGCAACCGTACAATTGCCTAGTGCCTGTCTATATTAGGTATGATAGGGGGAGGGTAATGAACAGCAGCTGTAGCACGCGCGTCTCCCCCGTCCTCTCTCTATATATGTTTATATCTATATCAGAGATGAAAGAGATCACTTGTATAAGAGTTAATTTGGAAACATATTCAGATTTCAGCCCTGAAAATGGGCATGGCTGACAAGAGACTAACTGTAAATTTTGGAGCACAGGTACGTTAGTATGTCAGGAAGAAAAACCATGTTGATACAGTTAGGGAAAAGAAATACAGGTAGAGATTATCAGGCTAAGGTAGTTGAAGATAAGACAGGCAAGTACAGGTACTCATATTAAAGGGGAAAATAACAAAACAAAACAGGAGAATATACATAAAGGAGAGTACAGTAGATATAAAAGTATTGAAGCAGAAACATATCTTAGCTAGATAGGGCGCTATATTAAATGCTGTATATTATTAATATTATAAAGACATTTATGAATTCGTCCATGTGAATGATGTCACAGTCTCTTACTGGCTGTGGTTGATCATTCTAATATTCAAGTTATTTTTTGTATGTACAATTCAAAAAAGATATAGATGTTAGATTATTATTTTGTTACTAGGGTTGTGTTTTATTTCATGAAATCTCTCAGTAGTGATAAAAGATGAATTTGCTTTACCAGAACTAGAACTAAAGGTCTAACTTACTCTAAGTCAAGTACTGAATTATACCTGTTCCGCTGTTTGCATTGTTGAATTACAATTTTATGACTAATTATCAGCTATAATACCTGATCAATGACATGATTGTCTGTTGATTTTTTTTGCATCATGTTGTTTTGTTATGACCATTGAAAACGAGGCCTTTTTGTACCTCGGCATCACTATCACGTCTGGATAAATTTTCCTTCAGTTTCCATCAGGTTTTCTCTTTAAACCTTGTGGGGTTGTTACATAAATGTTTTTTGTTCTCGGATTATTGTCTGGGGAAAACCTTCCTGTATATTTCTTACACAAGTAAAGAAAAAACATCTTAGGTGATTTTATTCTCAAGTGTTCTTTATCATGAAATATAAAAGTCTGTTCCTGGTGATGATTATGAACGGAAAATCAAACAGTTACAACATCGTGGCAAAATTTTGGATTAAGTATGTAGTGATATCAGTCTTTAAATTACTAGCGGCCCTATATGTCATATTAATGCTGACAGCCTTATCTTATTGTTTTAGTGAGATCTGTAAAGAAATCCAGGACATCAGTGACAAGATACAGGAGTGATTTTTCATCCAAGATAGACCAACTCCTGGTTTCCAGTCGACAGGAAAAAATGTCAAAATTAAACCTTCAACATCAGCAGAAAATGAGGGCTACACAGGAAAGCATGCAACAGCTGAGGGAGTGAGTATGATCGACAATGTTTATGTTACGTGAGCCAATGGCTCAAGGGACCTATTGCAATCGTTTTTTGTCTGATGTGTATAAACCTTAATCGAGTATAGCTACAGTGAGCTATGTAAGGCTAGATGAGATGACCTAATTACACATCCATGTCAACACTTGTGTTATAAATAACAAACATACTGAGTATTGATATAGCAATACATGTCGCCTACCGGCCCCCGCTAGCTATTACATAGTCCGAATTATTCTGACGTTTTATCGACTTTTTTTCCATATCGGTCTGTCCTCGGTTAATCGACGAGAGACCGATATAAAAAGTCGATAAAACGTCAGAAAAATTCGGAATAGCTATTACACTGTAATGATTTATAAAAATGGTGCCCTTTGGTGTTAATTTGGGAAAATGAAAAGTATACAATAAGCTTACATACAGCTATAAATCAGGGGGTGGGGTGGGGGATTGGGGTGGGGGTGGGGTCTTTTTTCGTAATTAAACGCGGTCGTCGTCAAGGGGACCCAATCGAACCATATATATCTATACGCTGTGCAGAAATTTTAACTATTAGAATTAGAAATAACAAGTATAAAAGGCATAAATGTTGATAATTTTCCAATCCTTCTTTCGCAATATGCTGATGATAATTCCCTGATCTTAGATTGGATAGAATGCTCTCTCAGGGAATCAATTAAGGAACTAAATGTATATAAACAACGTATGGATAGGGAGTAAAAAATATAGCGAAGACATTCTTTTACCTGAACTGAATTGAAACTGAAGTGGGGCATTTCAATCTTTTAGGATTATAATTCCATGTAGACCTTTTTAAAATAGCTAAACTGAACAACGATAAAAATACTTGTTAAACTCAAATCGCTTATCAAGTGTTGGAGCCGTAGATCTCTTACTCCTTTAGGGAGAATTAGTATAATAAAATCTTTACTTATCTCACAGTTCAATCATCTTTTTATTGCATTACCCAATCCTGATGATGTTTTTATATAAAAAAAACTTAACTCAGTCCTTTTCAAATTATTATGGAATAGTAAGACAGTTAAGTTAAGACAGATGTTGTAGAAATATACCTGTATACTTGACATGTTCATTGATATGCATCATGGTGCATTGACGTTAAAACATGATATATTGCTTTATTAGGATACATTCTTTAAAATGTTGTGTAGAAAGTTTATTAGCCCGACTACCATTTTTCAAAGTGGCATATCTTCGTCATTTTCGAAGTTGTGACCTTTAAACTTTCCACATAACCTAATTAGGTCGTGCTACACCAAACCCGAGTACACACAGTGATGGTCTGGTGATTAACAACACTGTTATTAGGACACAGCACACCTAAACCCAATACACATGATGATGGTCCCATAGGCAATTTTGATTGACAGCTGTAATTTGGAACCAGCAACACGTAGCGAAATTAAGACAGTGACTCTGTGTATTGTAAATTGACTGGTCACCGAAACAAGCCTGGTTAGCTGCACCAATTTATAAATAAAAGCAGAACTCTTTTTCATATTGAAATAGAAATTATGAAAATATGTCAGTGATATATTATGAATTATCATAACGAATGTCTTTGGATATAATTGAGTAAAAATGGAAAACAAGCAATTTAAACATACAGTTATTAAAAAAAATCCTGGACATATTGGAGCTGACTATCATGCCTAGTAAGTTTGGAAGATTAACATTGTCTGTGAATAAGGTCAGACATGTGATTCCATAGGACCACAGTAAGAAGACAGTCTCTACAGAGTTTGAATTTTCTGTAATAGTTATTGCCCTTTGTACAGTTTGTAGAAAATATACATTTTCCATTCTCCTAGCGTTAAAGTAATTTTAAGCGACATTTCGTAGGTTTGACATGTTCCTTGATATGCATCATGATGCATTGACGTTGAAACTTGATAAGTCTGTTTATTAGGATACATTCTTTAAAATGTTGTATAGAAAAGAAGTTTTAAAGAATTTTGAATTTTCATTTTTTTATCATTTGACCCCTGTGACCTTGAATAAAGGTCATAGTCAACGAGCTGAACTCTGTATGTAGCCAAACATAGATGCTATAGATATGCCAATTATCAACTCTGTAAGTATCATAGTAAAGGTAGAGAAGAGTTTAAATTCCAATTTGTTTTAAATTTTGAATTTTGGCGGGAAAATGAACATTTTTCAAAGTGGCATATCTTCGTCATTTTCGAAGTTGTGACCTTTAAACTTTCCACATAACCTAATTAGGTCGTGATTTTATAGATGTGATAAAATTTAACTATTTATGGGATTTTAATTTTTGACCTATATTTGCCTCCATAGCGAGGCCTTTAACTTGACATATTCTCTGATAACATGACATGGGCAAAAGTTAGCCCCGACCAAGATCCAAAAGGACCGTTGAGCGTTCATGCAGTACAACAAACACGATTTAAGTTATGGTCACTTGAAAAAAGTAAAAAAAAACAAAAAAAACAACACTCTATTTATAGACCTGTGACCTTGACCTTCGACATATTGATCATGAACGTTTAAATTTTTCTTATAGATCGGTGTCCTCTATTGCATACTGATATATGAACATTATATCGTTTTCCGTTCATGAGATAAACCGTTAACAAGATCTATGGAAATAATAATAACTAGATTTGATCAAGATCAAAACACGGGATTTCCAACAAGAAAATGAACACAGAAATGATCTCGGACTGACCATCGCTTTTATACGTTTCGTTTCCCTTCCCTACTCTGATAAACCTTGTACATGTACTTATTCATACCATATGTTCAGTTGATTCTAGCGTTTCTATCTTCCCTCCTCCCTTTCCCCTTTGTGGGGACGTTATTTACTTGAGGTAATAGTGCAGGGCAGCTATGTTATTAGGACCCTACTACACCAAACCCGAGTACACACAGTGATGGTCTGGTGATTAACAACACTGTTATTAGGACACAGCACACCTTAACCCAATACACATGATGATGGTCCCATAGGCAATTTTGATTGACAGCTGTAATTTGGAATCAGCTACACGTAGCGAAATTAAGACAGTGACTCTTTGTATTGTTAATTGACTGGTCACCGAAACAAGCCTGGTTAGCTGCACCAATTTATAAATAAAAGCAGAACTCTTTTTCATATTGAAATAGAAATTATGAAAATATGTCAGTGATATATTATGAATTATCATAACGAATGTCTTTGGATATAATTGAGTAAAAATGGAAAACAAGCAATTTAAACATACAGTTTTTAAAAAAAAATCCTGGACATATTGGAGCTGACTATCATGCCTAGTAAGTTTGGAAGATTAACCTTGTCTGTGAATAAGGTCAGACATGTGATTCCATAGGACCACAGTAAGAAGACAGTCTCTACAGAGTTTGAATTTTCTGTAATAGTTATTGCCCTTTGTACAGTTTGTAGAAAATATACATTTTCCATTCTCCTAGCGTTAAAGTAATTTTAAGCGACATTTCGTAGGTTTGACATGTTCATTGATATGCATCATGATGCATTGACGTTGAAACTTGATAAGTCTGTTTATTAGGATACATTCTTTAAAATGTTGTATAGAAAAGAAGTTTTGAAGAATTTTGAATTTTCATTTTTTTATCATTTGACCCCTGTGACCTTGAATAAAGGTCATAGTCAACGAGCTGAACTCTGTATGTAGCTAAACATAGATGCTATAGATATGCAAATATCAACTCTTTATGTTTCATAGTAAATGAAGAGAAGAGTTTAAATTCGAATGTAGAGCAACAGATACATGGATTGAGGTGAATTATGTAAGATGCATGTATGGTTCAAGTTTGGTTGGTCTAGCACTTATACTTTTTGAGAAACAGAGCTAAACGGAAACTGATGTATGGATTGAGGTAAACTATATCAGATGCATGTATGGTTCAAATTTGGTTGCTCTAGCACTTATAGTGATTGAGAAACAGAGCTCAACGGAAAACATTTACGTTGATACCACCGGGAAAAGTAACACCCAAGTCCCACCTCCGCGACATCCGTCCCAGGCGAGACAATAAATCTATAGAGACCGTAAGATCATGGAATGACTCGTTCAGATAAAGTGACTTTATTTAACACTGACAAACGTGAAATACTACCTGAATGTAGTGATATGATCCAACACTCACCATCTGTGCTTTCTTGTCTGCTATCGTGATTCTCAGCTCACTGATTCGTTGTTGCTGCTGAGCTTTGATCTTCATCTTCCCCTGTAAGTCAGTCTGGAGTTGTTCATATTCTTCTTGAATGTGTTCAAAAAAGAGAATATTTCAAGTCAATACATACACTCCATAACACATGAAAGAAATGTCCATGTTTTCAATTTTCTTTCTCCATAGTGTCATGTATCAATTTTCAACCTCAGTTTTTAAATCTGACAAACATTAATTTTCTGATTATGTTAAATAAGAAAAAAACAGATCGTATAGCGGGCTCCTGCTTGGCCTTTTCTGTCTTGATAGCATTTATCTTTCGCTTTAGATCCTCATTAGCTTGTAAGAGGTTCTCATGTTGTTCCCTGAATTTCTCATAGACGAGCAAAATCACACAAGGTAATACTGTATCTATGGGAACTTGTGTGGACCATTTCATCCACAAGTGTGTTTAGTGCACGAGTGGCTGTGTGTGTCCGCCTACTTATCAGTGTGAACAGATAACAACATGCAGTACTGCTTTTATTACATACAATGAACCCACAATTTTTCTTAAAATTACAATATTCTTTTCTGTATAACTTTACTTAAGATTATCCTGTATCAATCTTCAATTTATTTCCTGATTTTTTTACACCATAGTGTAAAGTGACACTAAAATGTTGAGAACCTATTCTTGTTCAATCTGTCGTTTTGATTGAACCTAACGAAACCTATGCAGTTGAATTAACTGTCCCCTAATACCCCTACATACCTTTTTTTTTATTAAGATCGATCAATATCTACCCCATAGTCGCAAAGATGCACCAGAAAA